AGAAACGTTTGATGAAAAGAGCATGAAGTATTCTTATGTCTACACGAGCAATAAAGTGTTTTTTATTTCTTTCTTATTCCGTTCAAATGTTCTAAGAATAAATCAATTACAGCAACAAATGCATTTTAATCAGTATTTCCATCGTGCAAGATCTGTTGAATAATTCAAAATGTTCATAAATCTGTTACGATTTATTGTAATCAAGTTCACCGTGAACCTATTCTTTCACCGGAAGAAAAGTCAAAGCATTTCGAAAAATGATAAGAATTACGGACGATATGTTATATCCATAATGAATGTACCATCTGATTTCTTAAGAGGAACTCGATTTATTTTAATAAAAAATAAAATGTATAAAAGAAATGTCAATTATCAGATTTGAGCTCATAAAAATAAAATGTTTATTTTATAGATTGTACGGAAGTTTGATGTAAAGGAAATGCTGTATACCGGCTCAATCAGACGAATGATCATGCATGAACGAACGAACGAACGAACGGACGAATGAATGAATCTGATTATGAAACTGTTTATGATGAGTAACTGATGATAGAGATAACTATTGATGATGAAAATGACTTATGAAAATCATTATATATGACATATTATTACGACTGTTATTATCATTTGTTTTTTGTTAATTATCCACATAATACAAGTAACTATCAATACAACCTTTTAAACAAGAAACTGAAAAGTGTATTAAAACGCCTGTTCTCTATGATAGTCATCTCTCACATAGTTATAACATTATACCCGCCCAAAAATCCAGAAGAAGAAAAAAAATCTCACAAAAATTTCATCAATTCGGTGATTTTAAAGATAGGTGTTCAAACACGTCAAGATAAGGCTAAACAGGCGTTAATCAGTCTAGTAATTAGACCCCCTAGTGTCGGAATATTCATACTTTCTCTGATTGATTTCAAAATATATTTTCTTAACCATGCTAGTTCTTCTGTTTCTAAAAGAATCACGTGATTTTCTAATCTTTATCAAACTTAGTTGTTTTGACAATCTAAGCAACGTAATCGTCAAATATGTTTTATCGCGCCGATTGAAAATCTTCATTTAATGTTAAATTTAATTTTATATCAACCGATTTCATGAGATTACTTGGGGTATACTAAGAATTTTTTTTACCTTGCGAGGTCAAAACAGTTTCCAAGAGTCTAAATAATGAAATTGTTATATGTTAGTAATAATCGATCTTAAAATATATATACAAATGAACTTATCATTTGTACTAATTGAGCCGTGTCACGACAAAACCAACATAGTGGGTTTGCGACCAGCATGGATCCAGACCAGCCTGCGCATCCGCGCAGTCTGATCAGGATCCATGCTGTTCGCTATTAGTTTCTCTACTTGTTATACGGTTCGTGAGCGGCTCAATTGTTGCATTGTGGTTTCAAAAACGTGCATCACATGATCCTGATAGAGTTCCTAGATATTAATACTGTCAGTTGGTACATAATGTAGACTCATCCACGTTTTTTTGTCTTTATAAAGAGTTGTACTTATTTTTGAAATGATTTATTTTTATTTTTAAAATGATATCCTAGAATGTTGTTGCTAATCAGTTGCTCATCATTTCCTAGATGATCTCATTGGTGTAGTTTGACTTCTTATCTGCTTGCATCTTTTGGTTTTGTTTTTTCTTTGTTTATTATAGTATTCTAACGTTCAGAACAATCTAGGAACTATGTTTAAAGAAGTATACATGTACGAGTGCAGCGGTGATAAACATGTAGTAATTTTAGTATCTCTCAATTGTTTTAAGTCTCATATAATTCAAATTATGAATGTATCAATTATGTATCAACTTTTGCGAGTACCATTTGTGATAACTATTGTTTTGATACTTCAATTGTGATAATAGATAGAATAACATAAACAAAATTTTGAAGTATAGTTAATTTAATATAAAAGATAAAAAAGTGATAAACGTACCCCATCAGAGCAAATTGTATAAATTCTATATTTGAGCCGCGTCACGACAAAACCAACATAATGGGTTTGCGACCAGCATGGATCCAGACCAGCCTGCGCATCCGCGCAGTCTGATCAGGATCCATGCTGTTCGCTTACCAACTCTATTACAAGTAGAGAACTGATAGCGAACAGCATGGATCCTGATCAGACTGCGCGGATGCGCAGGCTGGTCTGGATCCGTGCTGGTCGCAAAGCCATTATGTTGGTTTTGTCGTGACGCGGCTTATACTTACATATATAACTAATGTTCTTCACTATACTTGTAAAGATGAAGCAGTGTAGTATTATATAATATTTTTAAAGCTTGTCTTTACTATTTCAAGATCACGACGGATGAGACTTTTGAAGCGTAAGGTGTAGATGAAAGTTTTAATACAGTGTTGCTATTCCTGTACTAGTCAACTGATTTTATTTATAAACTCGCTACACTCGCAAGAGGAGATACGATACAGTGTAACAACTTCTCCACAATTACAATTGTTTTATAAAATGTTGAGACTGTCGAAGCATGCCGGCTATATATCTTTATACAAGTATAATAAAATACATGAAGCAATGGTCTCTTACAGCCACAACTCCCTAACCTAATTGTTCTGTATGATTTTTCTCAAAACTAATGGCTACTGAAATCACAATAGGTGACAAGTGTTTTACATTTATATAGTAGACTTTAGAGACACCATGGAGTATCGTTGGTTTAAACAATTGTTATTTCGTCTTCCATGTTTGCAATACAAAATTACAATGCATGAATTACAGTCAGGACTTAGAAATAAGAAGCTTAAAGTTTATATATATGAAACATCCTCCCGGAACACCTGCTTCATCAGCTTGTCAAGAATTTTAATTATTATTATTTTCACCACAATGCGTCGTCTCTTGGTACATACGGACAATATAAATTTGATATTAAATTTCTTCAGAAATATGTTTTCTTCCCATCAGATGTAACATTAAAAAATATATACTTTTATATTGTATTTGCAGGTTATGATACATATTGTTAGTTCATACAAAATGACTAAAATAGGCCATATCATATCGTGTGTAAGCAATGATAAGAATATCCACAATTAAGACCACCCCACAATTAAGACCACTTTGGTCCAGTCCCGATGGTGGTCTTAATTGAGGGTTTTTACTGTATAATAAAATACATGAAGCAAAGGTCTGTTACAGCCACAACTCCCTAACTTAATTGTTCTGTATGATTTTTCTCAAAACTAATGGCTACTGAAATCACAATAGGTGACAAGTCATTTACATTTATATAGTAGACTTTAGAGACACCATGGAGTATCGTTGGTTTAAACAATTGTTATTTCGTCTTCCATGTTTGCAATACAAAATTACAATGCATGAATAACAGTCAGGACTTAGAAATAAGAAGCTTAAAGTTTATATATATGAAACATCCTCCCGGAACACCTGCTTCATCAGCTTGTCAAGAATTTTAATTATTATTATTTTCACCACAATGCGTCGTCTCTTGGTACATACGGACAATATATCTTTGTGAAACATAATACGTTAAGAAATGAAATGTTGGAAACCAAAAAGTAAATGTTTAAAATGATTTGTGTGAATAAATGCAATCTGGCGTAGGAATTCCATATTCGATAGGTTTCTTATTTATGCAAGATCGGATCAGAATTAGGTGTAAAATGCACGCTGGCAACATGGGATTTTTTCCGTAAGAAATAATATTTCATTTAATCGTTAACAAGTTGTCATTCATGTCTTAACAAACAATATTTCATTACAGTCGAATACATATCCTGTTTTGAAAATTGCGTTTTAGCTTGCGCAAACCGAATAAAATACATAACGTAATATCTAATCTAAAATATTATAACATGACTGAAGAAGAATATTCGTAAAATCTCTTTTCTTATTGCCATTGCAACTTTTTTGTTAAATTACTTGATTTTAAATACTCTGAAAAAGTAAAATTTGCATTGCTTAGTTTAGTGTTGTCAGTATTTTGGTGTAAACACATTTCAATGTTATTTCATAATCGTCTTTAAGACTGTACATTTATTTCATTTTTCCAGCAAAGCAATGAAGAAATACCGTAATAGTGTCAGGCAATTTCGATTGCCATTGTTCAGCTAATTAGAATATGTTCCACGTGTTCTATAAATCAAACGTGATATAAAACAAGTCAAAGCAATAATGAAATTTTCTTTAAACTTTGAAAAGAATATATAAAGTTAACAATTATGCCATTATTTCGCTAGCACGGAACAATACTTGATTACCTATTTAGTACCGCTTTACCCTGTTTGAGTATCTTTTCATTTCTGTTATTTTCGCCTCGATCATGAAAGCACCGCCAGTATCAATGCTATCAGAATCAAATCAAATACTTGAGCGTTGTTAAACCATGTTTCTAACTTTATTTAAACGACGCATTTTATAGACGGCACGCCACTGCGGGTGACTGGGTACATCTTGGTACGCTTTATTGTAATGATCGAATAGTTGAAGGAGAATAGCGTTTGAAAAACAATTAAAATTATCGCATACTCGAAACTTTATTTGAAATCATTTAACCTTACAACAAGTTTTACTTAAATCGAATTTTGATCAGATGTGATAAAAACGTTTTTATGTTCATTATAATAACCGCTTTGTATTGGTTAATAGGGCTTATCAAAACCAGGCTTTTCTCTCTGTTATTTTACATTCTTAAGCTATCAAGTAATGTTTGTGCCAATGCGATGAACGCAATCATGCACTTGGGTAAAAGAATGAGTAATCCCTAGTCAATGCATTTCTAGATTTTGAAAATACACAGATTAATTGGAAGCAATTATCATTTAAGATGATATGTTTCTACAGTACTTTCTAATGCAGTTTCCGGTTTATTTTCTTGATTCTTACTGCGTTTGTCACATTCAAATGGTGTACAATGTCATTTGCCGCCGTAAAAGGAGTTCTTTGAAAACAATTATAGTTAATGCCATTCTAAACATTTGTAGAGTGTAAAGAGTGTTCATACTCACCGAAAAATATTTCTCTTTACATGGATATTTTCTTCTGGAGCATGTATCTTTACGGATGCATCTTCCAAATTTGCGCATACACCGGAAGTCATCATTGGCGCACTTCCTGCAAGATGGCTGCGCAACAAATTTACACGCGCTACAAGACGTATGTTGGCACTTTGATTGGCATGGCTGGGGAAATTCAGCTACATCTCTGCAGTATAATGCATAACTTTAAGTACAGTATTTAACAAACAGTTTAAAATTGCGGCACATAATAAACATATAACTAAAAGTTAGAAAATTGTGCTTATTCGTGTACAATTCATTGCAGAACCATTTGTATAACATGGAAATCCTCGTACCTAAATGCCATAATAAAACAGAATTACTCATTCAATTAAATTAAATAAAGCATGCTATAATTCCATGTAATTCCACCATAAACACCACACACGGCACGCTACATTATACTAGAAACCACTTACACAGCTGAGCATATGGCTTTTGGATGTTTGATACAGAACTCAGGTTTGCATTTTGGACGGCACGACCTCCTCTGTTCCGGTGGCTGGTCTTTAACTTGAACAGGGACTGAAAAAAATAAGGTAATATTTCTGAGCTATTAATAAAAAAATTTATTCTAACTTCATACTTGAAAAAGAAACAATGTTTTAGAGGAACTCCAATGAAGTTTTTTTTATATGAAGTGATTGAAAATATTTTTTCGAGGTTTGTGTGTCTTTTAATGTAGGTCTTGGTGCAAAATTTCAGATAATTCCTTCACTTTTCCCAGAATATTTATTTATACTGTGTAAAATGGCCATAAAATGAAAAGCGTTGCAACACCTTTCATCCAAACCGGGCTAAAAATCATGGAAAAAATCGATGTTCAATTTAATCTAAGTTCAATTCTGTATCGTCTTTGTAGATCTTTCCAGTATATCACTTAATTATGCTTAAGGCATTCTGACCCCAGTGCAGCTCCTTTAAGATTGAACACCATAATCGATGTAAATGTATTTTTTTCTGGAAATATCTATACAGCCTTTGTGCAGTTTTGATAATATTTTTGACAAGCTACAAATATAACCTTGACCCGTAAAGGATTCATATTCAATGCTAACTGAATATCTTTAAATATTCATTGTTATGTAGGTAAATTCACTATGTTATCTATTCCCATAACAAGTTCTTTATGTTGCAGTATGTCTTATTTAACATAAATATTCAAGGACATTATGTGGTGGTATTAATGATAGTTAAGCCTCCGGACCACGGCCGTATGGTACTTTGAATTCAATAGAGCACAGTTCAGCCACCGCATTTTTTCTGGGCAGGCTGGCAATCAGTTTACTAATACTACAAATATAGTTGCCTTCACTGTTGCAAGGAAATGATAACTTTTGTACATTTCTGACCATAGAAAGGGTTTCCATGATCAATCACAATGAAAGTAACTTTCACTGCCCGGGTCTGGGTATTGATCCCGGGTCCCCCGATTTACAGTCCAACGCTTAACAAACTGAACAGTTTTTAAGGAAATTATTTACAGCGTAGCACATTTTATAGTTCCGTTGATGTGGAAAATTTATAAGTGAAAACCTTTTGTAATATATTTTCATGAGTTTGTCTATAAAAGAAATTGGAATTAGGTTTTGTTTCAAAGCTTTCAAGTGTAATAACAACGGTCTTTGTTATTAAAGTAGGAAAAATTTGCACCAAGAACTTAATAAAATATCGTTCACCATTGAAAGGAACACGTGCGCCACCTATTAATAAACACCGGAACATTGTTGCATCAAATCAGCAAGTTTGTCACTTACAGGGGTACAGAAACTGTTATCGTGGAAGATATCGAGGCGTGCCTTCGACGTTTCCAACTGCTTGGCGCGTGCAGTTGACATTTGCAGACGACATGATTTACATAAAACGGTGATTCTAAATGTTTATCGCACAGAAGCTGCATGGAACTTTTTCTCCAGTGTGTTTGACTTAACCATTTATCTCTTACAAAAAGTTATTTCATTAAATTTCTGAATTATGTGTTACAAGTCACACTGTTGTACCTGAAGTAATAAGCCGTAGTCACAGTGTTTACTTCATTAATTTCTTCACTGATTACTTCATTGATTATTTCACTGATTTCTTCACTGATTACTTCACTAGTTGCTTCATTGATTATTTCATTTATTACTTCATTAACCACTTCTTTGATTACTTAAGTAATTACTTATTAATTACCTCATTGATTACTTCATTGATTACTTCCATTTATAACTTCATTAAATTCTTCATTGATTACTTTCAGTGAATACCTCCTTCAGTCACTTATACCGTGTTCACAAGTGTCTAGTTCAAATAACAGACATTCTGATCTGGCATTGGGCTCGAACCTACCGGACCTTTTGCATCCTAATACATATATGAATTTATTTTATATAATTATATAGTGTCTTAAAGACACGAACAACATCAAAACAGGAAAATTAATGTTTATTTTTTATTATACGAGGTCAAAAAAACCATTACTTTATTTCTATATGTTAAAATAGAGAATAGTTCAAATATTAACTATAAATTATAAATAAGTTTCTGAAAATGTCAAATGGCTTGTTTATATGGTTTTAGAAAATATTATATGTAATGTCTTTGTGAACTTATATGAATTTATATACTATTGTATGTCTTTGTGAATTTCAAGATATGATATAATGTTTGTATGTGAAATCAGAAAATAAAGTTACAAATAAAAAAAAAACAAAAACAGAAGTGTATTATTATTTGCTTTTACAAAACTAGAGTCTTCAATGAATTGTTTGTTTGTTTGTTTCATTTTACGTCTTTCCCCAACAGTAGTTCAGTCATATAGGCGAGTAGTTTCCTAACCATCGTTCCTGGAGAGTAACACCAGTACTAGACTACCTTCCTCCGTGCTAAACTACCAAAGCATCTCCCGGGGATCGAACCCACGCCAGAGAAGTAACTGGAGTAGAAGTCATCGACTCTAACCCCTCGACCGAGTCTTCAATGAAACAAATTATTAATGATAATATTTGATATCGGTAATATTTAGCAATATATCGCCGATACATCGATTTGCTGCGATTATCGACCCAGTACTATAAGAATCTTACACCGATCCATAAATAAAAGCACAGACCACTTAACAGATATCCGTGAATAAATTCAGACTTTGTTTAATGTTTAGACAAAAATTTCATAAAGTTTAATGTGAATGTATATCATAGTGGTGATAAAGAAGAATTTACACATTGTCTTGTCTTTAATTGTTTAGACATTAGATACAGAAGTGTACCTTTTTCTGCAGTACAATATCATTATAACAGAAAAACAATGGTGTGTGCGTAGCATCATGTTGATTGTTCAGATTATCACCAGACGGACATAGACGTTAATTATCCCCACTACCGGGGAGGGCGGCTACTTGAAAAGAAAGATCTGTGACAAACATTCTCGCAGAATGCAAAATATTTCCCTCTCAAATCAAGGTATATCGGTTTTAATGTGTAATTCATATAAGATAAATCAAGGGTAAACGTATATACTTCTGACAGAGGTAACCAAATATTAGTGTCTGGAAATCTTCACGAGAACTATGCAGGTTTTATTGTATCACTTGAACGAAAGTTAGCATTGAAATCCTAGACAAGTATTGTAATAAAAAAGCATTTAATTTGTAAGGAATTACGCAATTAAATTAAATTATCCGCTCGTTTCGGGCTAATCTTCTCTCGAACTGCGAGTACTTTTTTGAATTCCGTATTTTTATTAGACTGCAAATCTAGTTCTTGCAGACTTTAATTGTCGTTTTAACAATAGTCTGATGTGATGTTATATGAATTTAGACTGTAGAATTTTTTTTTCAAATTTTACTAAGGAAAACTCGTAGCTTAGTATGTTTTGAGATCTTGTGGGCCATACCTACTATTATCGGCATATTACAATAACAGTTATCGGCGTGTTTTTTTTTAACCTATAAGAAGTAAAAATAAAGGACAATAAAAATTGGAATGGTAGGATATAAAAATATCTTAAAGAAGAATAAACTTAAACTTGGTTTAAATTTTGCATACAGGTGTACTTTAAGGTATACATCTGACTTATGATGTCAATTTTTTAGTTCCTGATAGTGCCCATTAGGGTCCTAATACCTTAAGATAATTCATCATCATCATCATTATCATCATCATCATCATCATTATTATTATTATTATTATCATTATTATTATTATCATCATCATTATTATTATTATTATTACAAATGATTGACTAGGGTACTTGAAAAATTGGCATAAACTGAACGAGAGTAATTGCGTGATTCAATGTGAACACAGCCTGATTACAAATCCTGATATCGCAAGTTCCAAGTTCGAATCTTCCGTGACTCGAACTATAACCATCACTATTCTTTTGTTTGAATCTTTTAAACCGGTGAGCAGTTTGCTAGTGCTACTAATTGTATCTTACATGATACCTGAAGTTAGAGTTACCGATACCAACAACAGATTCACGTAAACTGCAAAAGTATTCCGAATACGAAGGAAAAATCCGGCATATTTCAACAATTTCAACACTCATGACGTCGCTGGTGTAACTTATCTTATCAACATGATATAAACAAATTAACAAAATTAATATCTGATGAATGATTGTTTATTATATAATACAAGCCTTTATATTTAGCTTTTATTTTAGAAATGATGAAAACGTTGAAGTAAGCGCAAATTCCTTTCATATATTTTTTATTTCAACGGAATAAAAAATTCAAATTTGTACAGTAATCAACGAGGAAAAATGTAAAGTAAGAATAAAAAGTAACTGTGTGAAATAATGTTGCGAGAACTAGTTTAATATTAGTATTTTTTTTTAGTATATTTATTCTCTTTATTTTATTTATTTTTTTTACTTTTGCCACAAATTCTCATACGTAAGCATCATCAAAATCTATTTTAAATAAAGGCTATCAAAATAAATAGATTTAGGTCAATGTCCAAAAAATGTGGATTTTAAATATAACATTATCAAAAATAATGCCAAAAAGTAAAATTTCAGCTTCGTGTCAAAGATATTGTCTACTTTCACATTAACTTCGATCATTTTATACTGTATGTTGATGACACAGTAACTTTAATTAAAATTTCTACCTTTTATATTTTGTATACATTCTCTCGTATGTTTTAACTCCGAAAAAAATACGTAATGTTATATCAACATACTTCTTTAAATATTTCGACAGGTCATATATTGCATCTGAAATAATGCTATGTGACATTTATAATCTCTATACACGTAAAAAGTTTCGTGCATAAAATTATATTTGCAAAAGAAATATTTTCGACCTTACGAAGACAAAATTTATACGAAGAAATTTTGACATTTTGATGGCATTTGCGGCTTTTACTAGGCATTTTATTACATGCAAATACGAGATAAAAGTAATCAAAGAAAATATATGCATCACTTTACATTAAAATCTAAAGATGTTTAAACTTAAACCATGATTAATTTTATATACATGTATAATAACATAACATTTGCGGGGGTAATGGGGATGGGAGAGGGGGTGGATT